TGAGCCGCGTGAGGGGTTCTGTGCACCAATTAGTAAAACCCACCCTTCTCTTCTCTACACCCTTATTTGCTAGTATTGAAAATCAGTTATCGAAAATCGATAGCTCCAACGAGGTTCTATGTAGACAAGATTGCTTCCAAGGAGTAGGACCTTTTTAACGTTAAGTATCAAGTGAGTAAACATTTTTTGCAGAACACCCGATTCATTTCATGATGAACTACCACTACCACTGATTGACCCTTCAGAGGAAAAATTAGACTTAACTCATCTTATACCTGCTGCCTTTGGGCAGGGTTTTATGAATAGGAGGTTTTCAGGAGTGATATTTTTATGTTTTTTTTTTAATGTTTATTAGTTTATACATTTGTAATTATGCAATTAGAAGCAATTGCATGTGGACCAAAAACTGCGGGTTTAAATTACAAAACCCAACGATAAGAAACATGGACGTTTCACTGATTATTTGTTAGAAAGTGTTGTTTGTTATGTACGACAATACTATCCTGATTTATTATTGCAATAAGCTAATAGATGTAAGTCTTCCGTTTCGATCTGTACTGAGGGGCCGAAATTATAGTTAAGTCTCTATTATCTCCATGTCAACAAACCGATTTTCGTGTGAAGACGCTTCGTTATTGGCTAATCAATTTAAATGACATTACTAAATACTTTCAATACTTCCATATTAATTAGGTATGATGACTGATACATACAAATAAAGTTATATAGGTAAGTAAATTACTTTCCTTCTTATTATCAAAACATACAGGTCTAAAAATCTACAAACAAACGCGTAGTCAGAATTAAAGATCCATCTGATAGTGGGATACCAGATAAATGAGTGCCAGAAACTGACGATATTGATCTTGTGATCTCATTAGAATTTAAACTTTGAAATTGAATTGATTTAATGTGTACAGTTTAGTTATAATTATTACTACTACTGTTTTTTTATTTCTTTTTTGCTCTGGTTGAATTACCCAGATGGTTCGTAGAAAATGTGCCGGATCCGCCAATTGACGTTTGTAGTTCCAAAGAAAATAATAAAAACGACATAATTTTTATACTTTTTATCTTCGAAGACAAATAAAATACCAGTGCGCTTAATCGACAAATTAACTTAGAAATTTTTATCATCATCATCATAAGGTCGTTAGTCCTAACACTGCTTGAACACGCACCTCCACACTAATCTTCGCATTTCCCTAAAACTAGAACAACCCACATCCTTAACTATTTGTGAACAGTAATCTAATCTAAATCTACCCTTACCCCTCTTAACTCCCGTTTCCGCATCTAATATGTCTCTGACTAGACCATCATGCCTGAGAAGGTGTCCTACTAACCTATCTCGCCTATTTCTTATTGACTTCCATAGAGTCCTCTGCTCTCCTACTTTTTCTAATACCTCTTCATTTCTAACCTTCTCTTTCCACGGTATCTTCATCATGTGCATCGGCGAATATTAGCTTTTTTCGCCAGAACATATACAGTTTCTTTAAATGTTAGTTTATCAATTCCTTTGTACAGTTGTAATGCATTTTATTAAGGTAAGGTTTACTGTTCTGTTGACGAGAAAACGAATACCCGGAGCAGATAGCGAGGTGCATGACTGTATACATCGCAGTTTGGTCATTGTAGTTATAAATAAATTCTGTGAAATAGTTTAATTCGGAGTTTTTATTCGCTATGTAAAAAAAAAACAACCGAAAAAATACCGCTCGTGTTTTCATATCAAAAAAGCACTATCCTAAATTTGACGATGCCGAACCAGCGGCTGATTCTGAAAGTTAATTGTGACAATTACAGTTTTTTGTCAACTAATCTTCTTTATTACTGACAACCTAACGGAAAAATTCCAAATGGAGCCTAATCAAATCCTGATAATAAAATTTGTATTTTAGCAACTATCATAAACTAATAGATACTAAGCAGATATCATAACTAAAGACAAATTCTTCTTAATACCATTGAAAAAAAAGTCGACAGGCATGTTTTTTGTTTAGTTTTTCCTAGAGTAGGGGAAATCTTCGAAAGACACCCTCTCAAGGGGGGGTAGTATCGGATTTGACGAAGCGCATATCATAACTGAAAGCACATTTTTCTTAATGTTACTGCAAAAAAGTCAATAGGCATGTTTATTTTTGTTTAATTTTTCCTCGAGGAGGGAAAATTTTTGAAAGACACCCTCTGAAGGGGGTAGCGTCGGATTCGCTAAACTGCCTACCGACTAAAACCTTGCTTCCGATTTGGTCTCGTTAATAGCAAGTTTTTTGCGAAGGTCTGTAGAATTGTTCTGGTAGAATTTACAAGGGCGATGTCATCAGAATTAAGGGCAGTGAGAATTGATGGGTGGGACGGCGTATCTGCACAGAAGAGGTTGAATAGAAAGGGTGACAGATTGGAGCCTTGGGGGACACCAGCCGTGACGGGTTTGCTGGGCCATAAGGCAGAGGCAACGCGGACACGAAGAGTTCTGCCAGAAAGAAAGGATCTAATAACCGTGGGGTTTTGAGGGCGATAAGCTTGGAAATGAGACCTTCGTGCCAGAGTCGATTGAGGGCCTGTTGGATGTCCAGCAGAAGAATGGACGTGTGTGAAGGTGCTTGTTGAGACTGCGAGGAAATGTGTTCAGCAACACGAAGGAGTTGATGGCTGGTGCCGTGGTGTCTACGGAAACCGTTGAACAGAGTGGGAGATAGTTTGGAGAGTAAATTTTAACAATTTTTATTCTGACCGCGACAATTGTTTCGTTGACACAGTAACTTTTGTTCAAGTGAAGTGTTACACTAAATATTTTGCAAAATTATAGTGCATATATACCTTAACTAAAAATGGGGGTGACATTAGGTATTAGGTGTAACATTCCACTTGAAAATATGACTCTGTTAGCGAAACAGAGTTTTATTTTATAAATTTTTTCTGATCTTTTAAAATAGTTGCGTTTCGTTGGTTCACCTTGTATTAAAATCACCCTTTAGAATCCTGACGATGGGGCTTAGTTTCGGAGTAGGTCGTACTTTGTACTGGGGAAATACGGTAGGCATACTGAATTTTTTATTGCGTTATTAAAAATTTTAGAAGTACGCGACAACGTGCGAAAATTTTTACAACCAATAAAAAAACGGATTTATTATTAGTTGCTACAATTACGACAGACAAGGTAGACGTGCTAAGCACTAACCGTATAACTTGTTGATAGCGCGACTCTTATCAATTTCGGCTACATATAACGCATTTTCAAACCAATAATAAATGCTTTTGATCTTCTAATTGTTTATTTTTTCGCTATTGAGAATGGGGTTACGGTACATAGAGTGTAATAACATAAACCATTCAATGTCAAGTAATTTCTATGGCTTGGGAAGTTTTTCGTTGAATAGAAGTTTGTTACTTATATGATTTTTGTTCTGTATACAGGGTGATTCATGTTACATGATAATTATTTTAGTAATATACAGGGTGTCCAAAAGACACAAAACGTATTAGTTTAATTTTCTTAAATGGAATTTTTACATTTTTGAACTCTATGACCAAAATAAGAGCGAGTTTCATTATGGTTTTCTTCACCCATGCTTTAAGAATTTTGAAAAATTTTGAATTTTGTGAAAATGTAACAATTTTAACTTTTAAATTATCCGCATGAATTGCCGCTTTTAAAACCAAATTTAAATTGAAAGCTGCTCGTTGTTAAATTTGGTGTCACAATAATTGTGAAAAATTAGCTAACATTTCATTTACACGGTGTCCAAAAATTGTGATTAAATAAATACAAGCTTTAAGAGGCATTAACTTGTGTAGTTAAAATAGAACACCCAAACCGCTTCATTCTAAACATAAACGTATTCCCTCTTTTAGTTTTCAATAACATTGGCTTTTTAAAGCTTTTGCGATGCATGTAATGCGCTGCTTCATATTTTTCGGTGTGGTTGGAGATGGAGATAGAACTTCACAAAAAGGAATTCGATGGAATTAAGTTTGACAATCGTTGGCGCCAATGCCGAAACTTTTGTGGGGATATGTGAAAAGATGATTTTTGGACACCCTGTATACCTTAATTAATTTTTCTCAATTGCGATACAAAAATTAATCAATGAGCAGGTTTTTTAATTTTCCAGTTTATAGGGAAGTTTTGCTATTTAAAATTGGTTTTAAAAGCGGTAACACATGTAAATTTAGAAGTTACAATACATTTTCACAAAATTCAAAATTTATTTCAAATCCTTATTGTTTAGATGAGGTAAAGCTTGATGAAACTCGCTCTTCATTTGATCACAGAATCCAAAAATATATATGGTTTTCCATTAAAAAAAAAAACACTGATACGTTTTGTGTTTTTTTGGACATCTTGTATACTATGACAATAATTTTAAAATATACACAAAATTCAAAATTTATTTCAAAATCCTTAAAAGTTTAGGTAAGGTAAAGCTTAATGAATCTCGCTCCTATTTTGATCATGGAATCCAAAAATATATAGGGTGTTCCATAAAAAAAACAGCTTTGATACGTTTTGTGTTTTTTGGTCATCTTGCATACTATGAAAATAATTTTTCAATGTACAGAAAATTTATAATTTCTTTCAAAATCCTTAAAGTTTAGGTAAGGTATAGCTTAATGATACTCGCTCTTATTTTGATCACAGAATCCAAAAATAAAAGTGGGTTTATATTAAAAAACACAGCTTTGATACATTTTGTGTTTTTTTGGATACTATGAAAATAATTTTAAAATGTACTACTTGTGGATCCTTATCCACTTCCACAACAAAACTTTTTAAAAATCGAAGAACGTGAATAACCGTGTATAAAAAGAGTACCTAGGAAACTTTCCGGTATTTTACTAATGACTGGGGTTTTCTCGAACGGTTTCGATCTTCCTCTGTAACGTAGCGGGCTTTAATCGCGTCCACTTTTACCTCTCCCTTCAATGGAAATTCCGTCTCTGCCATCACCAGTTTGTACCATTATATATATACAAACTCGAACAGAAGTTGCGAAGTCAATTCCGATCTCTTACCGCGTTGTTTCTACGGACGCGCTTATCACACTTATGTGTAGTACAACTTGTAAGTTTACAAATACAGATACCTAAAAGTGTAACTGCATGTTTGTACGATTATATCGTCGAGTTTTGCATGTTTTTTTTTGTTTTACGATTAATTATCTATTAGCGCTATTCGTTACAGAACAAAAGAACGTGCGGTTTTCTGATATTCCGATTTTTATCCGTTAGTTAATAGTTATCGATCCCAGTGACTGTCGAGAGCAACTTAGTGCGTGCGGGAGTTTTGTTTATACCGGGTAATTCCCTAATTAACATTCCGTAAAGTTGTTTGCGTATTTCAATGTTTTAAATATATTTATTATAAAAAACTGATTTTGGTGGATTTGGAAGTATTTTTATCTCAAATAAAAAATTGGATTAACTATCACACAATATGGAAAAAAATAATGGTAATTACAAATATTTTTTAACTGTTTTCTGTCTTCTCATTGTTAGATGTTTAATATTATTATTTATCAAATGTCGTTTTTCGTGTTATTGAAAAATATTTAAAAACAAACGATACTGTTTAACGATGAGGTGAAGTAGCTACCTAACTGCTGCAGACGTTTCGCCTTTAATACGAGATTCTTCAATGAAAATTTGAAAATGTATGAATAAAGGGATTAACTACTGATAAAATTAAAAGTTCCAAATTAAAAAATAAGAAAATACGCAATGTACGATTGTATACGTGTGCATGTATAATATAAATATGAAAGTTTCTTTATTTATTGTGTTACGGTCCTAAACTATAAATTTAAGTCGACTTATTGTCCACATCCTAGGGGTAAATTAAGAAAACGAAGAAAAAATAATTTTTGTATAATATGTGTATAGACAAGAGGGACATTCACGCACAATATGAGTAGGCAGCTCCCCAAATCAGATTGCTCCCCTGTGGGCGATAAAATTAAATTAATAAACACTGTTTTTGTCATGTACAATACAATTAATTAATAATTGTTATTGTCATACAATGTTCATATAAAAAAAAATAAAATAAAATATTGTAAATTCAAACCACGCTTACATTAAAAAACTAAAATAAATTCCTATTTTTTTTGTCTGAAACTTCTTTGGCGATCTTGTCTTTAATAAGAAAAGTAATTTCTTAGGGATACCACAAGACACGAAAAATGTAAATAATTTACTTTGTTATTTCTGAATAATTTATTTTAAAAATATTTTGAAAAATATGCTAAAATGTATGTCCACCTTATTTCCGAAACCACTAGAAGTAAAAAGTCAAGTAATATATAGCGTCTAACTTATATAGTTTACAGAAAACTATAACTAAGATCATAAATTAAATTTTTAATTAATTTAATAATTAGTTTATTTGCAGTTGACTGCGATATAAACCAAACTGAACGAAAAGCAATATACCTGCCTATAATTAGTTTTTATTTTCAAAAATTAGATGACTTTCAGTGTATTATGGTACAAATTGACTTTGTTGGGTTGTTGAACGCACTGTAACACTAGGAAACAATTTACGGAGAACAACGTAAACTACACCTTTACCATAAAAATAAATAAATTAACCAAATGAAAACAATCTTTTGCGTGCGCTAAATTTTAAAATACGTCATTGCTTGCAGACATAAGTAATTCCCATAATACTAACTAGGTACTAGGATCATTTTAAGTAAATAGTTTATGAACATGTAGAGGATGAAAGCTGATATATCTAACGTTTCTAAGATTTATCTGTAAGAAATCAAATTTGTTTACTTTAAAAAGAATAACATAATTGTAAGGTATTGAGTGCGCGCCATGGGGCGCACAATTGTTTACTAGTAGGATTAAGAATTAATATTTAATTTCCTTGTTTCTCTCCCTGACGCTTACAATGACATACGAGGTTAGTTCAAAAACTATCAGGAATTTTATGTTTTTCAAAAAATTGTTTATTTATTCATGAATATCTATTTTGTACCCTTCAAAGTAATCCCAGCCAGATTATACACTTGTGCCAACATTTTTTCCAATCCTCGAAGCACTTCAAAAAAACATTTTTTGTGATTTTGTTCAGCTTCTCCTTCGATGTCGTCTTTATCCCCTTGATCGTGGCGTAGCGTCGTCCTTTCATGGGCCTCTCAATTTCTGGAACATGAAAAAGTAACAGAGGGACAGATCTGGGCAATACGGTGGCTACGGCATTATTAGTGTGTTGTTTTTGGCCACAAGCAACGATTTGTGAGCAAGGGCGTTATCATGTTGTAAAAGCCAACTTTTGTTCTTCCACAAATCCGGGCGTTTCTGGCTGATTGTTTCGCGCAAATTGCGCACAATTTGCAGGGAATATTCCTTATTGACCGCTCTACTCTGTGGCAAGAACTCATGATGCACCACAGGAGTCAATCGATGTGTTTAGGTCCTCAGCAACTTCTCTAACGGTGATTCAACGATTGACCAATACTATTTCCTTCACTTCATCAATGTTTTCGTCTGTTGTTGACGTGCTCGGGCGTCCGGCACGCTCTTTATTGTTCACATCTTCTCGGCTCTCTGAAAACATTTTGTACCACCGATAAACGTTGCTTCACCACATGCCATAGTCAACATTCGGAATGCGCACTTAAATTTGTTTTTCACACAAAATTTGATACAGATTCTTTGATCCATTTTTTGGAATAGGCAAGAATTTAAGACGAGCCAAAACACGTGCAAGCAAAGTAGCTGTCAAAAATTTACTGAACGTGCAACATGGTCGAACTTGCCGGTATAAGTGAGAGGCATGAGTACTAACTAGGGTTTGTCGGTTTTTTTGGAGAAAATTATGAAATTCGAAAACCGGTTTTTTAGTAGAAAATATCGGTTTTCAATGTATGAATAACACTTAAAAAAAATTTGAAAATGACCCGCTTCATC